GTTAAGTGGGTTTAACTAATGTCACATCTGTTTTTATTCATTTCAGATGCAGAAACTTTTGACATATGAATTCATCTTGACTAAGGGTAAGGTTTTTGTTCAGAATTAATCATTAATTAAAATCATTGTATTTTCTTTGTTAATATGTACAGATTTTAAAAAGAATGTACTTTCTTTAAACAAAGAACTCTTCACAGCACTGCATCTGAACAGTCACAACCTCACAGAGCTGCACAACTGCCCCACTCAAGATCAGTGTTGAAGCTGGAACCTCGTCTTGTGTACAGCAAAGGCAGAGCTGAAAATTCACTGTTTGTCTTGTATTGTGTGGTAAGTCATAGTTTTATAAAAAAAAAATATTTTATTGCAACACTAAGTAGTCTATTCTGTGGTCAATATGATATAAAGGGCCTAAAATGGGACTGATGTGATCATTGTTTAGATTTCTAGATAAGTACTCATGGGGCTACACATGCAGCTGAAGTTAGCTACATTGAGTAGGACATTTCTTTCAGTATACTCTTAAAGAGATTCATCCAAAAATGAAAATTCTGTCATTAATGACTCATACTTCACTTGTTCCAAATATGTCTGAGTTGCTTTCTTCAGTTAAACACTAAAATATATATTTTAAAGAAAGATGAAAACCTGCAAACATTAACTTCCATAGTATTTGTTTTTTCCCACTATATATGTCAATGGTTTCAGCTTTTCAGCTTTCTTCAAAAAACCTATTTTATGTTCAACACAAAGTAACTTGGAAGTTTTTAAAAAAGGTTTACAACCACTTGAGGGAGAGTAAATAGTGAACTATTCCTTTAACCCAATCTAGTTGACTTTACTAGTAAATTGTATAGAAACCCCTTACATTTTATACAAGGTACAACTTAACAGCCGTACTTGAATTAAAATATTACTGTAAGTCCAAGAAGATTGTAAAGGTTCTAAGTTAATTTAAAGAGGGCTGTTTAGTTTCACTACATTGTAAAAACAATGTTTTAGTTGATGAGGGCTGTTTTAGTTTAGTTGTGTAAAAACATAAAGGGTTTAAGGCAACAGGTTTCTATGCAGTTTTCTAATAAAGTCAACTAGTTTGGGTTAAGAGTGTAATGGGTTACAGTAATAGCAGTGAATCATGCAGGCATACAATAAATGTTTAGCCATTTAAAGCAATAAGCTTGTTATAATTTAGAAATATTTTTAGGGTGGAGCACAGTATGCTGTTGTAGTTTTCATATAATTGATGAGTCAAACATGAGATGTGTGTGTTAAATTGCAAGAAGTAAATTAACAATGTTCATCAAGATTCAAATCTTGCATCTTATATTTTTTAAGGTTTTGGCCCAATAATACCCATATTCTGCTATTTAAAAAAACATGCTGGAATTTGTGTCAGCATTCCCTTCAATGAAAACTACAGCAGTGGACATCAGTGGTGATAAAAATGTTTGAGAAGGATAAGGGTTTTCATAATGAGAAGTGCAGTCACTATCCTGATATCTGAGTGTAGAACTGACAGATCTACTTGGAATACATGGAAACATGCTAGAAATGTTTAACCTATTATTATTAATGACACTTTACATATATAAATAAATATCCCTGGACTTTCTAAATGAAACCTAACCATCATTCTTTGTTCAGTAATGATATTGTGCACTTCTAATACTTTACAGTGGCAAGACCTGGAATAACACCTGGGAGCCCTCCAGGAATTCCTGACACTTTACGCACAAGTCTCCTCATGCTAACCGGATTGCAATATGACAGTCTAGTCAGCATAAACACCTGGACTCACCAAGCACACTTTGGTTCTCAGTGTTTTGTATAAATTGTTTTTGCTATTCTTCAGTAAATACTTTTGATGTTTAAGTTCAAAAAGTTGTTATTATAAACATAATTTGCATTTGTGATGAACTTGACTTGTTGTTGTTGTGCAAGCTGTTTATTATAATGGCATTTCCAAAGGCATCATTTGAAAATATTTTTTTGCAGTGCAGTTTTACTTGAGCTTGACATAACAGATGTATGACATGAATAAATATCACAAAATAAATATAATAATAATAAAAAATATACATTTCCTTCAATTATAATAGTTTTTAATCATTTATATATGTATGGTAATATGTTATTGCATTAAAAACTGTTATAAAATATATATATTTGCATGTTTGCGTGATTTTTGTTTTTTGTGGCATTATAAATAAATTATAAATGTTTCATTAAAAATGTATTGTGTTTATTTGCATACTCATTTACAATGAACTACTATTTTTACTATTTAATGGGCACTATATTTGTCATTTAAGTTTGACATATATTTATATTTGTATATCTACATGATGCAGGGTTTAGTTACAGGAAATGCTGAAAATGTTTTCAAACATGAAACTTTTATTTTATTATTCGTTTCAAATTTTGTATACTGCCTATGATCTGGTTTTACTATGATCATTTTGCACATCAGTATAATAATATTATTAATAGTAATATTAATACAGATTTTGATATTTAAGTTATATTATAAGGTTATAATAATCTACCTTCAGCCGGAAGATTACCAAATAGAGACAAAGTGTGACGTAGATTGCGACGTTGTGATTGGACTATAACTTCAAAACCAAATTAAAAGATCCTTCGTGTTGCTAACTATGTTTTGCTAACTTTGCCACTTTACTAACAGTGTCCTTTATCAATGAGTTATCGCTGTGTTTCAAATAGTTACCGATTAACCAAGATCGTAACCCTAAACTTAACCCTAACTACACCTTTCAATGAACTACATTTTGTACCGCCATGTCTTTCCCGTCCCTCCTATACAGTGACAAAGGATTGTGGGTAATGTAGTTTAAAGCCTTTTTTTTTAATAAAATGGAATAAATACAATTTTTAATGAACTAAAGACTATCTGAATAAGGTCATTGTGCATATATTTATGACATATATGAAAGCCAGGCATAAATTTGTTATTTTACAATGAGTATTTTTTTAAAACAGCTTTTATTGACTTGATCAGTATATATCAGACTATTATATCCAATATTATTTATTGAACATAGCATAGGTAATAGTCTTGCTGATATTCTCTCACTCATTTCTCGTTTGAAATGTGAATACTTTTTCCTTTTCTACGGGGCTCTACTCATCCCCTTTGAGTAAAAGGGCAGTTAACCTATGTAGATGTATTATCTTCAACATGGACAAGAAATTGTATTGTCACATGTACAGTTGTGGTAAAAAAAAATAAGCTGGAAAATAAGCTAAACATTAGTATCCTCTTTAATCACAAGTTATTAGCAATAGTAATCTATGTTCATCACAAATATTATGAGTTCAGAATTCTGGAAGTGTGTTTCATTAATGGTCATCATGTGATGTTTAATTGTTTTCACTTTATTTGAAATATGGACAAAAGCTCTTTTAAAATATGTAAATGTTTATAAATATAACCTTTTTCAAGATGTATTTGTTTGACAACCACTCTTTATCTGACTATTTTTACTTTCTAAATCTTCAACTGTTTGTGTAACAGTATGTTTTGATGACAATGGATGAACTTGTGTTTAATAATGACCACATAATGTCTTTGTCCTGGATGTGGGTTAATTTGTTAATTATTTTCTTTATGATCAAATGGTTGTAAGATTTGCTGCATTGTAAGAATCATGAAAATAGTGAGAAATGAGGTAACAATGACGAAAAGATATCCTTTCAAATGTTGTGAATAGTTCAAACCTCCAAATGATTAAAATACATAGTCAATAACCAATAAAATAAAAATGCAAACCTTTAAATTATCTAAACTTGAAGTAAAATAGTTCTGTGCTGTACTTATAAGTTACTGTGAAGTTTTATGTCTACCAAAAATACAAATTTTATTTTCATTCATTAATTTTCTTTTTGGCTTAGTCCCTTTATTAACCAGGGGTCGCCACAGTGCTATGAACCGCTAACTTTTCCAGCATGTTTTTATGCACCAGATGCCCTTCCAGTCGCAATCCATCTCTGGGAAAATATTTATTTTTTTTATTTTTTATCTTGCATTCAATAAAACATTATACAAAGATTATTATTAATTTTCAGCATAACAACAGTGGCACTGTTATCTCACAACAAGTACAGCAGTTTTTTGTTAGACATTCTAACAAATGAATACAAATGTTTCAAAGTAAAGACAAAAATAAAAGGAAATTATTATTTTATATTTTTTTAGAAAAATCCATGAGGACCAAATCAATACATCAGATCTTTGATGTAAATCATAGGTTAATTTTTCCAGTGGTAGAAGTCTGATTGCCTGACTCAGCCACATATTGGCTGTAGGTATCTGAGCAGTTGACCATAATAATATACATTTTATGGCCAAGTATATGCAAAAATTAAATTTATCATAAAAATGTATCATAAAATTGATATTTTAAAAGCTCTTGATGTCATTTAATGTTATAATTTTATTTTAATATAGAGTTCCTCAAATTGTTATATGTTGTAAGCAGTTAGGCATACAATAATGCTCTTAATTTACAACACTGATTGATTTTAGAGGCATGCATACATACTGTACATATCTATGTATTTAAAAAAAAAGAGACAACAATTTGGTTATAGATGATGAAAATTTATTTTTTTACAGATTTTATTACATGCTTTAGATTCAGGGTTAAGGTCATCCTCTTCTGGATTACAGTAAAAGAAAATCCACAGTCAATGTCATACTCATCAGCTGGAGCTTTATTTAAAAAAAATGTCTGTTCACTGCTCCAGCCAAAACTTGCAGGTACCTTGCAGGTCTCTAGATTGCACCATTGTATTGTTGTTTATTTCTCAGTTATTTTGCTGCTTTCTGAGAAGGATGATCAACAGACCTTTTAACCCCTCTTCATTTAGGCCACATGCCGAATCTTAAAAGAAGAACACAACAACATTAAAATATATTAGTATCCTTTGGACTGGGTAACCTTATGCTTTATGTGCCAAAAAATACAAATACATACCAGTACTTTTTATATTATTATTTATAGTGGTTGGCCATCTCTGCCACAATAATCCGCTGCTTCTCCTGAAGAATCCTGACTAGCAGGATGATGTTGAACACCCTCCTCTTTGTTGCTGGATCGACAGAGTCTGAAATATATTCATAAAAAGAAAGTTGTATTACAAGGATTATACGTCAACTTTTAAAGAATCAACACTGACAGAAGTCTAGTGTACATACCATGCCATATGACGAAGACATCCATATCACTTCTGTTTTTTGTTGTCTTTGCGTCTGCTACTGAAAAAAAAAATAATAACAATAATAGTAACACTTACAATATTTCATGACTACATGTAATATTAATAATAATTTCCTCACCTGCCCTCTCCTCTACATCACAGACCAAAGTCTTCCAATTGGTTTCCGGTCACTGCCAGTTCCATGGATTGTGTTTTGCAACTTGCTTTGCAGAGCTGTTGCAGTCTACAATAATAAGCAATCAAAAATCACAATACTATTTAAATAGGTTACTGAACATCTAAAACAAATTCTACTGGATGCAGTTACCTTCTGAAATCAACAGGTCAGCGAGATGGCCAAATTGTTGAATATCTGCTAATTCCAGCACATGACCATGAGAGTTACAGTAGCATGTCTGGTCACTCCAATCCTATAGAAGAAATATTGAACTGTTCAACCTCCTTCCCAAGAGTAAAACCACACATATCCTGGTATGCCTCACTCCATTTCACCTGGTTAACATATACAAAAAAAACAACAAAAAAAAAACAACAACAAATAAGTAAACCAATAAGTTTTGGCATTTACCTGTAGATCAGTTTAAGATAATCATATAGTTCATCTATCTCAGATTTAAACTCATGTGCTTAGGCATGAAACACACTAAAATCATAGGCTTAAAGATGGTGCTGAAACTTTGGACAGCTTTTTGCAACTCTTTGGAGGTAGTGTCATTAGTTGATGTAGTCCACAAATCTTCCTGCCAATCCTTAATCCTTAGCTGTAAATACACCTTCAAAAATGCCAGTGTTTGAAAAAGGGATGAAACAGTACAGAACAAGTGCATAACAGTTTCTATCTTCTAATCTAATTTTACTAGGTGAACATCAAAGAGCTGTTTTCTTGTTAATTTAGTTTCAACACATACAGTTTAAAGTACCTCGTTCATTCTTGAAATGGTTATGCTTATGGTTAACATCTACTTAAATTGGCAGTATATCTAGTGTGGAAGCAGGACAGATGAAAGACTCTTCCTTGCAAATACTATCCACCTTGTATTGCACAGACTCCCACTCAAGAATATCTCAGAAAAATGTCTGCTGAGATCTTAGCAGTCCATTAAAAATAATTATACCAACATCTTTTCCACCAATGGAAAGACTATAAAAATATTTTAGGATATATTAATACTTGCATGACCAAATCTGAGATAAAAAAGGCCATCAGTATGGCTTAGTTTAAATAAAACCAAAATTTTACTCTAGCCCACTGTCACCTAGGTCTACAGATCCAGGGACTAATGGAAACATTAAAGTACACACCAACAGCCACTGGAGCAAGGCCCTCTCACAGTTGGGAAGATTGGAGTTCCTATGAGCTGTACCAGATAAAAACCACAAAAAACTTACATTTATAACTTATCCTAAGACTAGTAGACAAGCAGCATAAGCAGACTTCTAATTTCCTAAACCCCAATGTGGACAGTTGATGGCCTATAAGGTGTCATAAATTCAGACAAAACAAATTACTTTCTGAAAAAGAAAAAAATGGTTGGCCACTATCAACACCCAGAACAAATAGTTTTAAACAGTTAGGCCACAATATTTTGTGAGCTTATACTGTAGTTTATAATGTTTTGCATAAACAATAGTAATAGCAAAACTAATGCGTCTCTTTCTGTTATTACAATAGTAGTGAAAGAATACATGCATTTCATCTTATACAATCATATATGCCTAAACAATGTAGATATTTAAAATACATGCAATGAAAAACTTCACTAACCCTTGACTGATTCCAGAGTGGTCTTGGCCTTCTTTACATGGTGGTGCTTCTTGGAGATCATCAAGCTGTCATCAAGACTTGAGGTTATAATTGAGATCTTGATTATCAATCTGAGTATCAAGGAATCACTCATGGTGATAGGCAGAAACAGGCTGAAAGACACCAGAATTAATCAAACAAATACAAAGGTGTTAACAGAGATAGAGAGAGAGACAAGTGCAATTTAACGTATAGACATTGGTAAAGTGACTTTACTTTTTGCTTATTAGAAAACTAAATTGGATTTTTAAAGTAATCTAAAGAACCTGAAAAAAGCAAAGAGAAAATATTCATATCTGAACAATGAACACCTAATAATTTACACCTGTAAGTTTTATATATATATATATATATATATATATATATATATATATATATATATATATATATATATATATATATATATATATATAAAACTATATATATATATATATATATATATATATATATATATATATATATATATATATGTGTGTGTGTGTGTGTGTGTGTGTGTGTGTTTGTGTGTGTGTGTGTGTGTGTGTTTTAAGGCATGGAAAATAATTGTTTTTACAATGTAGCCTTTAAACCTTTGGAAACACTTGATTTGCTTTAATATTGAAACAATTATGAATACATTTGTATTATTAGAGTTGTATATTGCATATTATATATAGATTTTGCACGAATTCTATTGTGGAAAACAACAATCTGGTAACACTGTTCCTCATCTTAAAATGTATATATTGTTCTAAGCTATGCATGACCAACGTTATATGTGAAGAAAAAGTATTTTTTTTAATAAATGAACTTGATGTAATTAGATAACGTCGCTAGTTTACAGTACATGCTTTATCAACAAATCGTCTTTATTTGTTTACTTTTTACTTACCTTGTGGAAAACCGCAGTGAACCTTGGGATCGCAATGAACCTTGGGATCGCGACCATAGACTGTAAAAAATAGATCGCCACATACAATGACCCGAACATCAATAAATCATTTAAAATGAAAAAGATCAGCCAAAAACATTTTTAAAACTAAGTACTTGAAATGTAATATTTTTTTAAGTAAAAAAAATAATAAATAATATGAATGAATCAAAGTTTTATTAGGCATAGTTACCCTAAACTGGGCAACCGAGTATAATTTCACTCATTAAATTTGAAGTAAATGATAACATATTTATAAACACCAACTAATCTCCAATAAAATACATTATGCAGCATTAACACACTATTTAATGTTGACAGTTGAACTCATCTGAGAACTCAGCGCTGATGCAGTTTGACCAATAGCAGAGCGGCGTTAAACTCACCGTGAAGGGATGTCACGTGGACCGAAGTTTATTCATACAGTAGTTTCGACCCAGTTTACAGACGCTTTTCATGAACAAAATAAAAATTACATATTTTTAAAATAAGAAAACTGCGATAATAGGCGTAAATCAGGTTTTAAAAATTGCGTTGACATCTATTGGTAATTATACGAGCCTCCAGGGTCTCCCTATGACGCCTCAAGCCTGATTTATACTTCTGCGTCAAACACCGGCGTATGCTACGGCGCTGACGCATAGCCCTTCGCCGTGGCCATCGCCGTCACTGACGTGCACCTCTCAAAAAATGTAACTACACGTCGCAACGACGCGTAGCATAAGCTCTGTGATTGGTCGGCTTGGTAGCGCTGACGAGTCTGGGCGGGACCGAGAGGCGCGCGAATGGCGCGACGCCGCGCGAGCGATTGTTTACAAGTGTGGAATCCCGTGAAGGAGCTCCGGATGGAAAGTTTTGTTTTGTGTTTACCTCATAGTTAAAGTTGTTGTACGTCCGCCGGTTCCTGCCTCAAAATGAGCGAGTTTGAGCCACTTGTACATCCCGGAAGTGTTCAGGAAATGCAAAAAAGTAGCGAAGAAACTTGACACAGAGGAACATTTACACCTCACTGCCAACTAGCGTTTCGGAAGTGTTAATGCAGACCGGCAGAGACAGCGCGCAGAAGTATAAATGCACAGCCACGCGCGTTGCCTGCGCCGTGGGTTACGCCGGTCACCTGACGCAGAAGTATAAATCAGGCTTCAGGCTCAGGTACATATTCTATAGGGAATCCCTGCACGTCTAAATATGACGCTAAAGGGGTACCCTGTGCGTCAATAACCTACGCCGAGGGTTCCTGACCAAGCGTCAGTATATGACGAGTTGGGAGTGAGTGTTGATACAAAAACAAAACAAAACATTGTTATACACCATAGCCTGTAGCCTATAAAATGGCCGCAAATCTTTTTAAATGCATTAAAAAGCAAGCGCATATTAGCCGTACCTTGAGTTTGTTCACATTCTGCCTGTATTAACATGCATGCTGTATTTTAATATAGCTTATTTTGATGAATTAGCTCTAACTGACAGCTTTTTCTTCTTTTTCAGCGGTTATGCTCGCATTATATTTCACACGCATATGCAAGGTGACTGAAATTGAAATTCAAATACAAAACATACTGAGCCATTAAGTAAAAAAACAAAACAAAACAACAGTTATAGCTACTTTAAAGGAGAACATTGCCGTTTTGAAAAAAAAAAAAAAAACTGAACTGAAACTAAATTATTAAAAAAATAAACCTGCTAGACTTAATTTATGTCCTGCGCAAAAATATTTTTATTATAATCTGCTTAAAATAGGTCAATTTATTTCTTTTTTTTTACTTTTGATGAAGCTGCATTCAACTTAAGCTCAATGTCGGCAATGTCTTTAAATAAATAATATATCTAGGCCTATTTTCATTATTCATTAATTTTCATTATTCGTTTATTATTATCTACAATTGTTGAGACATAAAATGAGATAGTAAACTATGATCAACAACGAAAATGTAAGTAAAAACAGAAATAAAAACATAAATGAAAATGTCTTGTCTTAGTCCTGTCAAAATAGCAAACACTGAACATCTCTCTATATTTAGGTTAAAAGACTGCTTTATTTATTTATTTAATTATTTATTTATTTATTTAAGACTACTTATTTGTACTGAATGTTTATGCTTTCATTTTAGTTGCAAAAAGATCAGAAATTGATCTCGCACGCGCAGGGAAAAAAGGCAATTATGCCACATATGACTTGCATCGCTCTCATGCCAAGTTTTGAGGATAAATTCGCATTTAGATGCTGCTTGAAATAAAATAAAACTATCAAAAAGCACATTAAAGACTTTAATAAAAAATTAAAACATTCATAAAGGAGTATCTTATGGGAAAACACCACGGGCTCTGCTTTCGGTTTTAAAAGAATCAAGCAGCTTTAAAAAATATCTAATTTGCTGAAGAGAAATGACACGAAAAAAAATAATAAAAAGATTAAACATATCGGGACTGTTAAAAGAAAATTCCTTTTTGATATATTCTTTCGACTCCAATACATCAGCTAAGATTATGAATGACGGAGTGTCTCTCCTGCTTCAGCAGCGTGTCCCGCTGGTTAAACGATGAGGCGGAGAGAATGCGCTGCTTAGTGAACCTAACGCGCCATTATTTTAATTCTAAATTCGTGAAGAATGAGCCAACCGCATATGCTTAGTCCTGTTGGTCGGGACTCTGCTTTATAACTTAGTTTCTTCACATGTTGCCACTCGGCACATCTTGCGCTCCATCTTTAAACAAATGTTTACATTATTGAGGTGCTCTCCGGCGGCGAAGTTTCTGGCAGAGTAGCGAGTGAAAAAATGTGCTTGCAGAAATTGGAATCAAAATTTTAATTATATAACAAGCATCGTATTCTTTCTAATCCTCGCCCAGTTTTAATACAAGTTGTGTTTTTTATATTTGTGGCTGTGAAGTTTATTAAGAATATATATATATATAGCCTACTTTATTTTTTTTTATACTTTAAGTGATCTGCTTGAGGTAGGTCACGTTTATCAATGGTAAGATTTAGCCTAAGTTTACATCAATAACATAATGTGCATTGTCCTTTACCATACAAAAAAAAAAAAAAGAAAAAAAAAACATTATTATACATAGTTGCCTGTAGCCTATAAAAAGGCCGCAAATGCATTAAAAGGCAAGCGCATTTCTTAGCCTTGAGTTTGTTCACACTCTGCCTGTATTAACATAAATGCTGTATTTTAATATAACTTATTTTGATGAATTAGCTCTAACCTTTGACAGCTTTTTCTTCTTTTTCCGCGGTTATGCGGCATTATATTTCACACACATTTGCAAGGTGACTGAATATGAAGTTAAAATACAAAACATACTGAGCCATAAGTAAAAAAAAACAAAACAAAACAACAGTTATAGCTACTTTAAAGGAGAACATTGATGTTTTGAAAAAAAAAAAAAACTGAACAGAACTGAAACTAAGTTATTAAAAATAAACCTGCAAGACTTAATTTATGTCCTGCGGCAAAAATATTTTTATTATACTTTTAGTGATCTGCTTAAGGTAGGTCAATTTATTTTTCTCAGTGTTTCACGTACTGTACGGCAATGTCTTTAAATAAATAATTTATTTAGGCCTATTTTCATTATTGATTTATTTTTATTATTCGTTTATGTACAATTGTTGAGACATAAATGAGATAGTAAAATATAATCAACAACGAAAATGGAAATAAAAACAGAAATAAAACATAAATGAAAATGTCTTGTCTTAGTCCTATCAAAATAGCAAACACTGAACATCTCTCTATATTCAGGCTGCTTTATTTATTTATTTATTTATTTCAGACTACTTATTTGTACTAAATGTTTGTGCTTTCATTTTAGTTGTCTTTTACTTCTTCAATTCTATTTTCCAAAACGAATCCTCTTTGCACTTAAAAAGTTTACAATAAAGCGTGTTAACAAATTTTAAATGATTAATGAAGGAATTATAATGCTTTGACTTATTGTTTAATATCATTTACAAGCACAGTAGCTGTATGGGCTATTTCTGTCCGTTCGCATCCCGTCCCTTTGCGCCCCCTGGCGGCTCATTCACAAACTGCGGTCATACACTAAAAACAGAGCGGCACCTATTTCAAACGGCGGCGGTACCAACCG